AAATAATAAACTAAAAAAAAAACACCTAACCAGTGTTGAGTTAAACCAACATTCTTACTTTAATATTTGCAATATTCAATTCATTCTAATGTTCTCCAAACTTGCTTTACCAGTTTGCTGCTTCTTTCATCCATTAATTAAGTATTTACCACATGCTTGTTTTATATTTGTAAGAGAATTATGTTTCAAACTTAAAAAAAATTCTTCTCTGACGTAAATATATCATAAACCTATTCCCATGTGGAGAAGGGCAGGGGGTGGGGTTGAGGGGGGCAACAAAGAATGCCTCAGACCTGGCAAAAAAAACAATTCTCCATTAAGTCCAGTCCCTGACTACTGCCCTACCTAGGCTTCTTGGCAGTGCTTCAGTTTGGCCTGTGTGAGTTCTGACTCCTGCACATACCTTTGGACAGCCAGCAACGCTGAGAGACGTGAGGCTAATGCAGTAAATGGCCAGTGCCTTGATAATCTCATCTGACAGCTGGCGACAGTAAGAGACATCCAAGTGTTCCAAGATCAAGGAACCTTTGCAGAATCCCTGCAAGATATCCCAAAGTCAAAGATGAGTTTCTTTTCTTTTCCTTCAAATGTTTTGTACATCTAGAGCCATCTTACCCATAGCAATTTATTTAGCATGCATCTCACTCCCTGAAATATAGACCATTATATCAGAAACCTCTTTGCAACAAAATATATTCTCAAATCAGCTAAAGAGCTTAGTAATATTTAAATTCTTGTTTAAATAGAATTTGGTTCTACTGAGGCTACCTCTAATGAAATTTATCTCATAGTCTCTTAGATATTAGAGTTGTAATCAGCCAAGTGAGTTGAAGAAAATAAACTTGGAGGTGAGACTTAGATGGAAAACAGTCCAATATTTACAGAATAACATCATGATGGAAAGAACAGTCTTTAGAATCATATGAACCTGAGTTTGAATTTACTCTGAAAATGTAGCAAGTTATTTAACTGTTCTAACTTCCAGTTTCCTCTTCTTTTTCTTAAGCAAAGTAACTACCCCTTGAAATGTCAGATTGTTCATCTTAAATTTCTATGGTTGGAAGAGACTTAGAATTCATAGGAAAATTCTTCCCTCTACCTCAGTGGTTCTTAATTTTCATTTCATTCAATCCCAGTTTTCAGTAAGAAAAGGACTAAGTGATTAAAAGAAAGAAAGAAAAAAAAAATCCAGAGGAAGAAACTTTCAAAATATCACAACTCTGCAATTTTAAAAGAAAAACTGGCCAGGGCCATAATTAATTAAGGAATTAAAATAAATAAATTGGGACATATTAATCGAGGAATTAAATAAATGAGACATGGGGAAAACCTGTGCATGAAGAATTCATTGTCTTTGCAAAGCAACAATGAAATACTTTCTTTTCTTTTTCTTTTTTTCTTTCTTTCT